CCTTAAATGTAAGTCAGAAACTGGCAAGTTAATAGAATATCTTTTCATTGAAATAACATCCAAGTATGATAAAATCCTTATTGGTTGCGTATATAGACCCAACAGGCACATTGCCTATGCACCATTTGTTGACTTCATCGAAAACTTGTGTCTTAATTATAGTAACATTGTTATAGCAGGAGATTTTAACAGCGACCTGCTATGTGAAAGTAAGTTCGCGCTAGCCATGCAAAACTTGGGCTTATTCCCTGCTAACGGTTCAATGCCTACACACTTCACGCAAACTAGTAGCTCTTTGCTAGATATATTTTTTGTTAATGACACCACAAAGGTTCTGCTATTTGACCAGCTTTCTGTTCCAAGTTTTTCTAAACACGATTTAATTTTTATGACATATGACTTTCAACTGACCTACGACACTAAATCCTATTCTTATCGTGACTTTCTACATATAGATTATAAGCATCTTGCAGAAGCTGTGGAGGAAATTGACTGGGGATGTATCCGCAACTTAATATCTAGAAATGAGCAAATTAACTTCATTGAAGAAAACGTTAGCTCGCTCTTTGATCGGTTTGTGCCCGTTGTATACAAATCAGTCAATGATAAAAAAAGGCCATGGTTCAACAACCATATTAAAAATTTGATATATAAACGCAACAAAGCGTATCGCAAATGGAAGAGTTTCAGAATTTCGGAGAACTATAACACCTTTAAGGCTTGCAGACGAGACGTTAACAAATCAATTAGATTGAGTAAACTAAAATATTATGAGTATCAGTTTAGCACTGCGGTTGGTTCGAGGCACACGTGGAAAAGAATTCGTGAGATCGGGGTTGGGAGCAAAAATCATTCTATTTCCGAATCATGTAATGTTAATGTAAATGTGTTAAATGAGCAATTTGTGTGTTTGCCCGATTCTGCAAATAATATATGTTATGAGAGTTACAGATCCAATTTAAATTTCGTGATGTCCAGTTTTTGTTTTGAATGTGTCGACGACTGTGAAGTAGTTCAGTCCATACTTAGTGTCAAATCCAATGCGGCCGGTATGGATGGTATTCATCCAAAGTTTCTTAAATGTTTATTACCAAGGATCTTACCTTATGTTACTTACGCTCTGAATACCATCTTGACCACGTCAATCTTTCCCAACTCTTGGAAAAGAGCCAAGATTATACCTTTAAAAAAACCGAATGGTGACTACCGACCGATTGCAATATTGCCGTTTCTATCTAAAGTGCTTGAGCGTATCATGCATCGCCAGATAAACACTTTTCTGAATAACAACGCCTTGGTGAACCCATTGCAGTCGGGGTTTAGATCCAGTAGGAGCTGCACCACGGCACTCCTAAAAGTGTCGGATGACATAAGACTAAACATTGACGAAAAGCGTGTGACTTTTCTTACTTTACTTGACCATTCCAAAGCATTTGACTCTGTAGATCACGAACTTTTAATCTTGAAGCTCAAAAACTTATTTAATTTTTCAACGTCGGCTTCAACTCTTGTGGAAACATATCTCAGTGATCGACTACAAGCAGTATGTGCCGGTAACACTATATCCAACTTCTTACCTATAACCAGAGGTGTACCTCAAGGTTCTATACTTGGCCCGCTTTTGTTTGTATTGTATATTAACGATTTGTTTAGTGTGATTAAATATAGTGATGTCCATGTATATGCCGATGATGTTCAATTATATGTTAGCTGTCCTCTTAACTGTATTAATGTTTGCATCAGCAATTTGAATTCGGACTTGAGATTTATAAGCAGGTGGGCTTCTGACAGCGGATTAATCCTTAATCCTGATAAATCTCAATGCATCGCCATATACAGGAAATATGTCAAGCTTGACGACTATACAGAAGTCAGACTAAACAATGCTGTGATTAAATACGTGGATACTGTTAAAAATTTAGGCGTTACATTTAATAGAACCTTGACGTGGAGTAACCATATTTTTTGTGCCATAGGCAAAGTATATGGTATGCTCCGAAATTTATGGACTACTCAACACTTTACACCAGTGAAAATTCGACTGCTTCTAGCTAAAACGTATTTGTTACCAACGTTACTGTATGGTTGTGAGTTATATTCTCATTGTGATAGTGTGTGCCGTAGTAAACTCAATGTTTTGTATAATAATATCGCGAGATACGTTTACTGTAAAAAACGTTATGACCATATTTCTGTTTTTGCGAAACAAATTGCATCGATATCTTTTGACGATTTGCTTAAATTTAAATGTTTAGTGTTACTTCAGAAGATCATTACTACCCAGGAACCCAGATATCTCAAAGATCGACTTCTGTTTTCCAAATCTTACCGTTCGCTGAACTTAGTCCCAATGAAATACAGTTGTTTGGTGACTGAACGTCAATACTTTGTGTTCTCTGTCCGTCTTTGGAATAATTTACCCCCAAAAATTAAGTGTATAAAAGAGAACTTGCGCTTCAGACATGAATTAATTCGTTACTTTGCCGAATATTGCTGAATTTACTTAAATAATTTCTCACACATTAAATTAATTTCCAATTTAATCCCTACTAATTTTCTTTCTCTAATACCTTCTACAGCCCCAGTCTTATTACTTTTATTTTAGTCTTTTTTATTATTTTTTAAATCTTTTCAAATTTTATTGTTAAATTCTTAATTTAAGGTCAATCATTGTAAAAATAACCTATGGTTGTATGTTTGACTTAAATAAATAAATAAAAATAAATAAATAATCAAAGAAGCAAGAAAAAAGTATATTTCTGAGCGTTTTTGACATCTGCCTAAGAATGAAAACAAACAAAGAAAACGCGGTGATTGAGTGCGATTAAATTGGTATTTATTATAAAATATACAAAGTGAAACTTGATGATAATTAGCAAAAAAATTTCATAAAATATGGTTTTCATGATTGAAAGTGTTTTACAATCGCATATCATTACCACGGGCCGATTTTTCAATGCCAACGTTCTGGCCACAAACGTGCACCCACTTTTCACGCAAATTTACGCCTTTTGGCAAACCAAACATACGCACAAACTTGTTCCAATCAGACAGCACTTCATTTTATATCATAAATATGTAATAAACCAAAATTTATAATTAAAATCGCTGCAGAAAACACATTCAATCGCTAAAAAATCACTACGAAGAGGTAGAAGACGGTGTAAACAAAACCGAAAAACGTCACAAACGCTACGAAAACTTTTTTCTGAAAATCGATTACAAAT